GCTTCGGGCCCTTCGAGCAGCCCTCGGCCTCGGACCTTTCAGCCCTTGCCGCGGCCATGCTCGAGCCGAGGCCTGGGGGGGGTGAGGAAGGTGAGGATCCTCTCTCCTGTTTTGGTCGGCTTTATCGCCGGCTTTAACGGCTTTGACGTTTTTGGCATACTTCATTCATTCATTCAGTCATTCATTCATTCATTCATTCATTCATTCATTATTCCTCTCCTCCTCCTCCTCCTCCTCCTCCTCTTCCTCCTTTCCTTCCTCCTCCTGTTCCTCCTGGCCCGTGGCCATTTTGGCTCGAGACCCCCCCCCCCCCCTTCCCGGCACCCCAGGCACCCAAGGTGCGAGGCAGGGGCGGGGGGCAGCCCCTTCCAACAGGCCTGGCTGCCTCGGCCAGCGCAGCAGCAATCGCCCCCAGCTTTCGGCGGCGCGCCGCCGCCGTCAGCCTCGCCCTTTCATCAGCCTCGCCCTTTCGTGCTGCCTCGTGGCCTTAGGCCATGGCGCCCGCCAAGGGGTGCCGTCAATGCCTCTGCTGCTCTCGTCGAGGGTGCTCGGGGGGGGGGGCTCTTTATCGATCGAAACAATGAGCTGCGTTCCAAGTTCGGGCCCGCCTTCCCCAAACCAGGTAAGTCAGCAGGGCGTCAGAAGACAGGCCCCTCGAGCAGCAATGCCAGTTCCTTCGCGATCGGGTCGCGTCAGCCCCAGGCAAGGCCCAGAAGTGCACCGACCAGATCGCCGCCCACGTCTCCGAGATCTCGGCGCCGGCCGACAAGGTCACCTCGCTCGACAGCGAGAAGCAGGCAGCCGTCAAGGAGCTCGCGCAGTCGGAGAACCAGCCAGCGGCCACCGTTAGGGCAGCAGCGGAGCGGGCGGCACCAGTTCGAGATCATCCATACTTTCCCAGAGTCACGCGTTTGATGGATCAACTCAAGTCGGGCCCAGTCGTCGGAGCGCCGCAGAGCGTCCAGGACCAGGTCCGCGGCCCGGAGCAGCAGCTCGCCGCGGCCCACGCGGAGGCGGCGCAGGCGCAGGTCGCGGCGGCAGCAGGCGCTGCGGCAGCTGGCGCGGCGCCATCAGCAGGCGAAGGATTGGCGGCGCAGCCGCCCCAGGCCCCAACCCCAGCAGCCCCCGCCCATTCCGCCGCGCCCCCAACGGAGACCCAGCCACAGCAGCAGCAGCAGCAGCAGCAGCATACTCAGCCAGCCTCAGGGGCCCCAGCAGGATCCGCAGAAGCCCTGGACGAGCCAACCAGCAATGAGGGGGGCCAGACAGACTCAGCAACAGCCCTCCAGAAGGTCTCAGAAGCCATCAACGCCGCTGGGGCCCCCGCGGAGGCCGCGCCCAGGAAGCTTCGAAGCCTCGCGGAGGCCGCCAAAGGGAAGGGGGGGGGGGTCGTCAGGATAACGCCTCCAGTGTCGCCACTACCAGCGGCAGCTGTTGGGGCGCTGTCACAAGTGTCGTTGCCTCTTCCTTCGCCGGGGATGTCATCGCAGCATGTCGCCAGGAGACTTGTCTCCAAGGGGATCGAATCGCACGCGCAGCCCAGCGGTGTCAGAGTCAAGGCTGGCACGCTGAAGTATCCGATTGTGTCGCGAGTGACGCCGATCGACTTTCGGCTGGCGCAGCCATCTTAGCTCGCGCGAGCTTTAATTTCGGCGCCCGTCCTGCAGCTCTCCCTCCTCGGATTCCCCCAGCAGGCTGTCAGCTATCATTAAGGAACTGTCAGGTCACTCCCCCTTCGCCCTGCTCTCCCTTCACTTCGAAGACTCCGCAGGCCTGGGCCAGCAGGACTTGGCTGCTGGCAGCCATCGGGTGGATTTAGAGCCCACCACGTGCCAGCGTCTGCCGCGGCGGACTTTTACACGCCGCCCTCAGTCATCAGCAAGACGGACAGTCCGAGGAGGCCTCGCCATTGTCAGCCCCAAGGGGCCCGCGTGGTGGTTCACTCAGAGGAGTCGGTCCAAATTGGATTATTCCGTGGTCAGCAGGGTCCTCGGGGATTCCATCAGCAGCGTCATTGCGTCACCTAACTGCCCGCTTTCGCCGCGCCGCCCAATCGCCGCGCATTTCAGCATTGGTCAGCATCCTCTGGCCCCCAGGCTTGTCAAGCCCCTGCAGCTCCCCACCGGGCGCCCAGTTGGCCCCGCTTTGGAGCCCCTCAAGTGGGCTCGTTCTGCTACAGCCGCGCAGCAACTCCAGGGGCCCCTAGATGACCCCAGCCTTCAGCAGCAGCGGCGCAAGCAAGCCCTAGACGCGGCCGTCGACGTCCTCATGTTGGACCTTGAGGCCTCGGTATTTCAGCATACAGACACCCCGCTCAGATGCCGTGGCAAGAGATGCTTCCCCCTAAGATCGCCTGGGTTCCCGCCGCAGCAGCAGAGGCGAAGCGCAGAATCAGCTGGCCGTCCTACGCCCGCCCGCCCCGCTGGCTCTCCAATCGAGTGGTCGACGTTTCGCGCGCAGCCCACCTTCAGCTCTCCTCGGGCGTGACAGATGCTCAGTCCACCTTGCAGGATGCGCCGCTGGAGTGCCAGCAGGCGACGGAATTACAAATCTTCCTGCGTAGGTTTCGCTGGTTGCTCGACGCCCTCGTGCTGGACGTCCAGCGCGCGGGCTTCCCCTCAGTCAGCCGGCATGCCCACGCCATTTTCAGCGAATTTCAGGGGCAGGTCAGGAACATCCACGACCAGGAGCGCCCTAAGTAAAGACTCCAGTCCACGGCAGCCTGGAAACAGTTGGCCCAGGAACAAATGGCCCCAGGGGTGGGATGGGCCCACGGATGGTCCAAGCCTACCGCCTGCTGGAGACCCCAAGAAGTCAAGTCCAAGAAAGACCGATGGACGGGGCAGCCCTCGGCCCTCCTCCTCCGCGAGTCGGACCGCCTCACCGACCTCCGCGAGGCCCAGCCACATCAGAGCCCCAGGTGCCCACCCCAGCCAGAGGACGCCGCGAAACTCAGCCCGATTACCCCAGAGGTCCCCAGGAAAGCAGCCAGGACCTTCAGCCACCGGACCCGCCAGACCTGGGACGGCGTCCACCCGGAGCACCTCGGCCCGCTCGCAGACGAGCAGCTCCTGGTCTTCGGCAATTCTCTGATGCGCGCAGAGCAGATGGGGGCCGCGCCCGCCCGCATCCCGGCCACCATCATCGCCTCGGTGGGGGCGCCGCCCAGCGAGGAAGCCTGGCGCGACGGCGCCCCGGCAATGACAATCGCGGACAAGCAGACGGGCGGGCGCCGTTGCGGGCCCCAGAAGTGAAAGAAGGAGGAGCACCGTTGCGAGCCTTGCTTTGATGAGCGGCGGATTATATCTTAGATACAAGTTGAGGACGTGAGTTACTAATCGACTTAGGCGACTTACGAAGTCGAATTATAAGTCGACTTAGGCCGACTTAGCATAACCGACTTAGGTGATCTACTTAGGCCAGCTTATACATTGAGTTATAAACTAAAAGCTAAGTCGGCAGCCGACTTATAAGTCGACTTATAAGTCGAGTTAGAACTCGAAGTTGTCGACTTAGTAAGTCGAACTACTCCGACTTACTAAGTCGAACTATTTCGACTTATTAAGTCGAACTATTTCGACTTACTAAGTCGAATTATCCCCGAGTTAGTATGTCCAAAGTGAAGCCTCGATGTGGTTTTCTATATATTCATCATGGGATTCAGTCATCTACTACAGCGTTTCACACATACGCTTTCACTTTCGTATACACATAGCTTTGTACATATGCGCGTGTAAGGTGTGTTCGCGCATTGCGATGTAGATAACGCGCGCGCGCGTACACATGCGCATGCATGCACATGCACAATCATATACCGATGTCGATATCGATATCGATGCATACGCGCGCCGCCTGCGATACTCTTATCAGCAGTAGCGCGGCGCGCGCCCCCCTGCTTTTTAATTGTCTGTTCTACGGGTCGCACGAGCACCCCGCGATTGAAGAGAAGGAGGAGGCGCGCCGCGCGTATGCACATGCGTGTCATTTTTCGCGGTTGTTTAACTTTTTAAAAACTTTTCTTTCTTGTCGCGATACAGGCGAGAAAGAAAAGAAACGCAGAGCGGAGGCGCTGAAGTCGCGTGCACTTTACGTTCGTGAACTGTTCCACCCGTGCCCCCACAAACTAACGGATCGTGAGACGATCTTGTTACGCTCGCGAGTGGCGTGAGCAGCCATTACAAGAAGGGGCGCTCCTTGCAGTGAGAAGAAAAGGGTGAGGGGGAGAGAGAGAGAGAGAGAGAGAGAGAGAGAGAGATGATGATGATGATGATGATGATGATGATGATGATGATGATGATGATGATGATGCTGATGATGAGGATGGTGATGATGATGACGATGACGATAATGCTGATGACGACGACGATGATGACGGTGGTGATGGTGATGATGACGACGACGATGATGGTAACTCGCACGGTCGCGGATTGTTCTTGCCCCAGAGAGCCTCGCCCTCCCCCCCCCTCGCCCCACTGCGGTGCAGGACATCGATGATCGAAGAGGACATCGATTATCGTTGTGGGGGTGGGGGTATATAGGGGTGGGGGAGGGTCGGTCTGGTCGGTCGGAGCGGCGAGCGGCGCGCGCGCGCGCGCCGCCCGCCCCTCCGTGCAACAAGTGCCAGGCGCCGCGGCCCCCTCCCACCGCGACCGCCCTCGTCCTCCCTCTTTCCTCGCCTCCAGCTCCTCTTCCTCGTCGTCGGCATCCTCCTCTTCCTCGTTCCCCTTAGCATTTCCTATCCCTCCTTGTGCCGGTCATTATTCCTCCCCCTCCTCTCTTCTCCCTCCTCTCCTTATCAGTATCCTTCTCCTCCCCCTTCTCCTCCTCCTCCTCCTCCTCCTCCTCCTCCCCTTCCTCTTGCCATCGAAATCGATGCCATCGAACTCGATTGCCATCGAAGTCGGACCCGCAGCCGCGTAGCGCCAGGAGATTCGCACCTCGATTTCCCAGCGTCCTCGATATCGAGCGCGCGATGGCGTCGTTCGCTGACGGGGTCGATGCCCTGGGCGGCCTCATCGAGGAATCTCTGTCGTCAGCAGATGGGCTTCTCGGAATGGTAGACGTGATCCTCGAGAAGTTAATTGCTATTGGTATGGCTGTGTGGCTGTATCTAAAACCTCACCAAGTAGGCATCCACCCTTCAAACAGATATGGATTGGGCGCCAAGGCTTACGAGGTGCACGGGCCGGGGGCTAAGATCGCGAGGAACAAATTCAGTTTCGCGGCAACGGCTGGTTCAGTTTGCACCGAAGATAAGAATAGCACGATTGCACAGTATACCCAGGAGTTTCAGAGATCGCCGAATCTGTTTGGCAAATCCCCGCCCGAATCGATTATCGCAGGGAGCGTGAGCTCTGGGCATGCGAATCAGTTCCTGGTGGCTTGCTTAGAGAGGGTTGAGACGAAGGAGAAAACGACGTCCGACATCGACGGTCGCATCAACACGGGGCAGATCCAAAGCAAAGATAAACAATGGAAAAACAATGGATTTGACACTGGGTTGAGGTGGTTGATGGTGAAAAAGGAGGCAGAGGAACACTGGCCAAAACTTCCAGGTTTGATCCAGTCGGCAAAGCAGGCGACGGGCCAGGTGCAGAGCGAAGAAACGCATTTCGAGCTCTTGCTTCACATCCAGGCCATTGCATCCGAGCAGGGGCGCGACGGGTCCGTAATCGACTGGGCGAGGGTGAAGACCGAGGCGAGCAAATCGGAATCGAAGTACGTTGACGATATCGACGCACGCGCTGACTTCGTGGCGAAATATGGCGGGGGGTCCCAGGGCCAGTTCATCAAGGACCTCGTGCAGTTCGTGTCATGGTGCGCGCCCGCTGGGCGCCTGGTGGGCGGGCGCGCGTTCGAGACATTGTGCGAGGCAGAGCTCGCGGCGACGGAGATGATGCCCCACCTGGTAATGGCCGTCGTCAAGGCTCACGTGAACGGCCCCCCCGAGCCCGCGCAGAGTCGAATGTGCAGGTTTGCGACCCGCTCAGAGATCGCGCCCCTCTGCGCTAGCACGGAGGCGAAGCCTAAAGCGATGGCAGCAGAGAAGGCCCTGCGGCATCTTCACAGCGTTTCCAGGCAGATCGATATCGATACGATTGAACGCATTCCGATCATATGTAAGGCCGACCAGTTGATAGCAATGTTGTTGTTAGGGAAAAAGGTGGATGAACGATACGCAAACATCGAGTGCGTCGCTCACGGGTGCATCGAGGCATTGAAGGCACAGCACAATGGTAGCATCGAGATCGACAATCCGTATACCTGCCAGTCGGCAAAGAACGACAGCGGTGCCGGTGGGGACTCCGTCAATCAGACCAACTTCAGTGGCATGCTGCAGTGCGACGCCAGCACGGGGAGCTGGCGAACGCTAACATCTGCATCTTGGAGCAGAGAGGGTTTAAGGTTGATGACGCCATCAAGCTGAAGAAGGACGATGAAGGTGCAAGGGCGCGGCCGAGCTACGGGTGGTTTACCAGTTTCAGTGGTTCCCCCCTAACTCCCCCAACCACCTTGGACCCGTCACCCCTCTACGCCACATAAAAACTCTTACATGAATTAGCCCCCCTGTGCATGAGTTGCGCCCTCGCACCTTCGATCTAAGGGAAAACGTGGAAGATAGCTTCGATGTCGGAGGATGGCGTTCGGATTCGGGAGGTGATGCAGAATGGCTCCTTGCACCGCATCGTTATTCGGTGCCCCATTCCGAAGTTCATCGAGAGGTACTGCGGTACGAGGACCACAAAAGAGTTGCTCGCTGGGTGGCCCGATGACGCAGCTTCTAGATCTACCGATCTCGTCGCGATCAACATCAAGTCAGCAATTGCTATGGCCATGGTATCTTTTACGTCGAAGTTCGAAGCCGACGGGGGCGATCTGATGGCAGTCAGCAAACCCAACGTGGGCATTTTCTCTAGGAAGAAGTTCCAGGCGAAAAAGTTGATCATCGCGCCGACGGCTCTGACCATCCAGCAGTGCGGCGAGAGCGATCGCCCCTACTTCGATGTGCCCAGCCCTGATGAGAGGATCGCGGGGTCCTTCGCCCTCTCGGACCCCGGCGCTAAAGCGCCGAGCCTTGCTTTCAAGATCAGGCACGTGGACAGCGCGGAGTCGAAGCCGATTTGCGCCATCACTAAACAATCGGTGGCCGTATCTGTGGGCAACGCTAAAGTGTACGATACCAAGATCCCCGTAGTCACCAACGCCATGGCTCTGAACGTTGGAGACGAGCTCACGCTTCCCAAGGTCGCGACCGCTGCCCCGAAGAGGCCCCCTCCGCCGACCATCGAGGTGTCCACCATGAAGAAAGTAGCGCGCAGCAGGTAGACATACATGCACGCATCGATTTGCGAAGCAGTGGAGCGATGTAGAGATGAGGCATCGACGTCGATCATGGACTGTTGGACGCCCATGGAGTTTTGGAGTTTTTGCAATAGTTACCACGAAAACATATACATAATCGTCGTCGTCGTCGTCGCCGTCCGCTTCGTCGGCGTCATCGTCGTCGCCGTGCCTGGTTCCACATCGCGGTCGAGCTCGAAACTTAGAACGTTTATCCAGGGCCGCGTATACACTTAAACCTCTTACAACTTACTTAAGACGCTTAGGCTCCAAACCTTGTGTGTTTGTTCTTTCGGGGAACGCGGTTCACGGCGCCACGTCAGTCGAAAGTCGCATTCGCCTATCGCTCGACGTCGCGCGTTGCTTGTTTGGCTCCAGATGTAGATGCGCCTCCGCGCGCTTCTAGGAATGCGTCGATATCGATATCCGACACATGGTGGATGCTATGGCCTGGTGCGTGGACAAAGTTGTTCGCGCGCGCGCCCCTCACATGGCTTCGCCAGTCATCCTGGACGATTGCAGGGAGCTAAACGGTTGTGTATTCTTTCATTTCAATAAGAGCTGCGATGTGGTGATGAAGCTTCTTGGGCATCCGCGTTCCAAAGGCAGCAGACCTCTTGTTAACATATCGATGTGTGAAACAGTGGAGCGCCTTAGAGATGACGCATGCAGATCGTCATTGCTAGCCTCCTTGGACCAGCTCAGCGTTCACGGAGTGGAGAAGACATCCTTACCGCCGCCTGGCTCCAGGTCGTGGAAGAAACGATTCAGGTCGAACCGCGACGAGATTCAGGGCACCACAACGACGGCACATGGTCCGACCATGGGCGGCATCAAGGGCATCCCTTTCAAGGTCATTATCGACAGGCCTGGTGCCCCCCTGTATGTGCAGCTGGAGGAGGACCTCGTGATGTACTTGAAGGCGTGCTGCGAGTTCGAGATCAAGTCGGGAACCGTCCACAGGCAGCATCCGTCCGAGAAGGTTCCTGCTGAGCTCAAGGTCGACACTAAGGAGTATCCTGGGCTGAGCTTCTCTTACACCAAGAGCCAGTTCGTGCTGAAACGCACAGGCAATGACGGCCATGTGAGCGCGAGGTACAGGACAGCGAGCTCCGCGGCGGAGGCGATGCAGTTGTTCGAATCAGCTCAGGCAGGTGAGGACTCTCAGAGCAATGCTGGCACCTCCGACGGCGTTGCCGCCGACGACAAGAAAGAGGAGCTTGCCGAAGTCGAGGGCGACTGAGAGTTTCGTGACAGGGTTGGCACGGAAAACATGAGCATCGATATCGTTCTCCTCCGTCTTCCTCGTCCTCCTCCTTCCTCCTTGTCTTCCTCCTTCCTCCTCGTCCTCCTCATTCACCCGTCCTGTCCAAGCCCTGCTGCTCATATGATGTGGTGGATTTGCTCTTCTTGGGCGGTCTATATCTCTACATATATACATGGGTCTATATATTTCTACATATATATCTACACATATATGTCTATATATATACAAGTGTTTTTATATACATATACCTCTGCGTATGAGGGGGATGTGTCTATATATATCTGCATATATATATATACATGTGTGCAGGTACTATGTGGCAATACTTACATGAGTGTTATTTGTGTACGTACATAGGTGCACGTAGTATGTGGTAATTCTTGCCTCATCGCGATTGCACTTGATATTGCGTTTGATGTTGCATTGTGCCCTGGAGTTGGAGCCAGCTGCAATCGATGTCGAAGAGCACGGGTGTCTCAGAAGCGGTCTCGAGCTCCCCTCATTCATATTCTAAATCCAGGCTGGAGACCTGGTTCATTCGTCGCCCTGATGGGTTTGTCCTCGCTGGGCCCTTGGGAGTGGTGAGCTTGCTCGCCCTTGGGTTCCTGTGCCTTGGGCAGCCCTGACGGGTTTTGCTGGGTGCGGAACTGGCCTTAGCGCCTATAGGGGAGCTCAAAGTCGCTGTGCGAGCTGCTGGGCTGCAGTTGGCTTATCTTCCAGATCGACAATCGACACTCGACAATCGAGGCTGGCCCATCGACCATCGCCTACTAGCCATTGCGGCTCTCTGGGTGCACGCGCGCGCCCTCGGCTGTGCTGCAGCGCACTCTTACAACCCTCTCTTCCGGTACTCTTCCTGCGCCATGGAGGAGAGCCGCTCGATGGAGTTCGCGCAGGTCGCGGGTGTCATCACCTATGGCCAGATCCACAAGGACTTGGTGAACGGGACCGCGCACGAGTGCGAGCGCACGGGGTCGAAAGTCATTCGCTTCGACGTCAGGCGCTTGTCGACGAAAGACCCGAGCAAGACGATCGGACACAAGGAGAACGGTCTTCACGCACAAACCCAGAAGACGGTGATGCCACAAGCAGGGCCCGCCGACGCGTGCAAGGACATCGCCATCGAGGTGTCGAACTACAAGATCAAGGAGTGGCCGTCGGTCCTCGTCCTGGTGGAGTGCCAGCACGGCTTTCATCGCAGCGACACGGTGGGCCGCATGTGCAACGCGATGTTGAACTTCATACTGTCGAGGAACAAGGTCGAGGGTATGCACGTGCGCGCGCGCAACTCGAAGATCTTCAACTCGGGCGAGCAGCACGGCAAGCGCGGGCACATCAGCATGCTGGAGAGCGCCAAGGCGTGGATGGAGCCTGGGAAGGAATGGGAGCTGGCGGAGGGCGGCGAGGTGTCTGTTTTTTTTTTTTCTCAGCCCCACGCGAGCCAGGCGGTCAGGGGCGACCACATTGCGTACCCAGCGTGGAAGGGCCTGTGGGACTGGGTCTACACCGAGTACCACATGGTGCGCAATGTCGAGCCCGTGCCGCCGCCAGGGTCGCCGCCGCGGGCCGAGAAGTCGCGCAGGATCGGCGAGGGCGGCAAGGGCGCAGGCGGCAAGGTCGGCACCAAGGGCGGCAAGGAGGCTGGCCCCGTCTACGGCAAGTCGGGGACCAGCAGTGCCTGGCGCCCAGTGCCAACGCGGGGGGGCCACGCCCGCGAGTCCGACGATGCGGAGGAAGAGGAGAGGTACCAGGAGCAGGAGGAGGTGGCTGAGGAGGAGGAGGCGACGTTGATATCGAGAGGTCCCGAAAGCGTCGACATCGAGTAACCACTACCACCCGCGCTCTCGTTCTCTCCCCCATGCCCCCTCCTTCTCCGTCCACATCGCCATCTCCAGTGCGGGGGGTCTACGTTTAGTTTTTTTTGTTCGGCCTTGTATTGATTTTTTTGGCGGTCCAGGAGCCTCAGCACATACGTCTGTCTCAGTTCGCTCACACGCCCAGCTATCTCGCCCACCGCCCATCTGCCCCTCATCTTGCTCCTCCTTCCCCCCCCCGCTCCCTCCCCCTCGTCATCCTCTCCCTCATCCTCATTCTGGGTACCAAGTCTATTTTGAGACCTCCTCCGCTTGGATGCCGAAACAACCGACCCCTCCCCTCCCACGAATGAAATGGCGGCGCCAAGGCCGAGACGTTATCAGAAGTCGATCCTCGAGCAGCTGGCGAAGCCACCTCGACTGTCGACGCTAACTCATCATCTGCAACGCCAGTGAGCATGGAGGTGGAACAGAAGGCCGTTTCACGTGAACCACATTGTAGTCCAGCGTTGCCCCCCCTGGTCCTGAGTGGCCCCGAGTGGTCGTGACCCCGCCCCCTGCCCCGAGTCCCTGGCCACACATATGGCCCCCGACTATCGAAATACAGGCTTGCTAAATACATCGATGTCGATGGAAGGCGGCCGCGGAGGAGGCGCCTGCGGTCGCTGAGGAGGTGCAGGAGCCCGTCTGGGCCACGTTCGAGCGGGGCCCTCGCGCCTGGCTCGGCCTTCTTCGTCAATGCGAGATCGACGAGACGGCCCAGCAGAGCGTCTTCCTCCTGGCCCAGTTCAGCGATGAGGGTCATCGCGAGGCCAACAACGTGTTGTACAAGCTGTTCAAGAAGATGGGCGAGGGGAGCCTCACGAACCCGTCGAAGTTCGTTCACAAGTGCGTGACGAACGCGCGGCAGGCCCTGGAGCAGCAGTACCACACGGGCCAGTGGCGTCGTTAGGCTGACGACGACGACGACAGTGACGACGACGAGGCCGACGACGACGACAGTGACGACGAGGCCGACGACGACGCAACCTCCCGTGCTCACGGTGCGAGGCTGCGGTGTGCATTTAAGTGCGGGCGCCACCTCTCTTCGGGGCCCCTTAGGGTACATGGGGCCCCTTTCGCGGCTTGCTGCTGAATCGATGTCGACTTGTGTTTTCGAGTTTGATGGTCGAGGACGCGGTGGAGCCGCGCGTGGCGTCGCGCAGCGAGGCGCCGCAGCCACGGCCTTCGAGGACCCCGCCTAGGCCCTCGCAGCGCCGCAGATGATAAGCGCGAGGAGCAGGGCAAAGTCGACTGTCGATCTCGGCTAGAGACGGCGCCGCTGCAGATGCAAAAAACAGAGCCGCCGCCGTCGTCGTCGTCGTCGTTCGTCGCCGCCGCCGCCGTCGTCGTCGTCGTTCGTCGTCGTCGGCGGCAGCGTGCCTGGCGCGCGTTCGCCGCGCACTCGTGGACGACCCCCCCCCCCCCATCTCCTTGAACTGTTTGTGCAACGCGCTGTTGGTCTCGCGATGGCCCTCATCGTGGTCGTCGTCGTCGTCGTCGTCGTCGCATCGACTATCGATGCTCCCTCGCTGATGCTCTCTCGCCGCCCCCCCCCCCACCGCCGCTGCCCTCTCGCCGCGCCGCGCGTCGCGGGCACCGTCGAGGCGAAGGCCGCCCCCCCCGCCGAGGAGGAGGATGGGGAGTGGGAGCGGCATGAGGAGGTGGAGGGAGTGGGGGAAGCGGGGGGGGGGGGCATCAGGCTGACGAGCGATGGACCATTGATGCGACGGGGTGCCGAACGAGGCGCGCGCGAGCGCTGACATGGGCAATCGTTGGGCGCGTTCAGCCACCCCAGCGGCCATGA